GGGGGTCACCCTAAGAGAAGCTGGGGATGAGAAATGCCCCCTGTGGCTCACCTTGCCCATCCTTGCTAATCTCGGTCCTTTATCTATGCCTAGCGCCTAGAGCAACCACCTGGAAACCTTGAGCCAGGGGATATCTGCTTTCCTAAGGCTATGTATTCCGGAATTTATGGCCATTGCTGCAATGCCTGGGCAGTTACATACAAGGAACTAACTTTAATTTTTTAGAGTATAAAAATAAAACGGGCCCGGTGACTCAAGTCAACCTTCTGTATGTGTGTCTGTGTTTTTCTTTGTGTTCTGTTTGTGTTTTGCGTTCTGTGTTCATCCTCCATCCTGTAAATGGGGCATGACAGGGAGGACTTTGGGGTCACCAGGAAATGGATGACTCCATGCCCTACGTAGTCCCAGCCCACCTTCTGGCCTCCCTGTTGGGGGCTGGAAGGCAGCAGCCTTCCAGGTTTGGTGCTGTGTTGTGGATTCACTGCTGTCCCATGTTCCTCAAACTGAGATGAAGTGACTCAAATGCACCCTGTGGCTGCATCCCAGCTCCCAGCTGACAGGCAGTCATTGAAGCCAGGTGTGTGCATGTGTGTGTGTGGGTGCCAGGAGCCCCACTCCACTAGGTGTCCCCTCAGGGCACAGGTGACGGCATATTGTGCGGATGGTGCACAGGGCCAGGCACAGGCTGGACACTGTAAACTGCATGCTCCCTCCTGCACAAGCTCCAGCCCCAGTTGTCACCCCGACACCATAGTGAGGCCAGGATCAGTGCAGTGCAGTTGTGGCCTGAGCCCTCGAAGTGGCTGATGTCCCAGGTGTGATCCTGATGGAGGCTGAGCCCGATATAGGCCCTGGGCGAGGCGGGAAGCCCTCCCTGTCCTGAGCCCCTCCCACACCAGGCCCTGTGCTGGGCACAACTCTGGGTGCTGAGGCAAGCAGGGCCTTGACCCTGGTCACAGGGCTCCACCTGCCCTCTCCTTTGCCAGCCCCTCCCTCGCTGGCCCCCCAGTGTCCCCAGGAGAAGTCCTGCTGCCCTGCCTTCCCCACTCACCCCTGCCTCCCTCTGCGGCCTCCTCTGGGCCCTTTTCTCTCTTTTCAGCCTGCCCCACCCCTTGCCCCGCCAGGCTCCTCCCCCATATCTTCTTGTCTGTCTGTGTTACTAGGTTTGTCTTTCATTTACTTGTTCCCTGTTACACAACCTGTCGTTCTCCTGTTAATCTTAACTTTCACATTTCCAGGGCAGCGTGGGCCAGAAGGGCCTGTTCACGTGGACCCGGCGGGTGGAAGAGGAGCAGCACCGGGGTCTGTCCGAGGCTGGCAGGGAGTGCAGGCACCACCCAGCCCGCTGTGGCTCATCTGCGGCTCCTCTCGCTGGCGTGGGCAGGGGCCGGCCCGCAGCCCCTCAGGGTGGGCCCACCTGGTGAACGTGGTCCACACATTGAACTTGGACCAGCGCAGGTGTCCATCTGTCCTGTAGGTTCCAGCTTGTCCTCACTGTCCCTCACTTCCCGTCTGTGTTTTCTTCCTGGCCGTCTGTCCTGCCAGCTTCAGATCCCAGTCGCAGAAGCAAAGCCACAGCCCGACACAGACAGTGTCACCCACCCTGCCCCTCAGCTGTGTAGGGTCCCGTCCCCGTCACACACTCCCCTCCCAGTGGCTCTGCTGCAGAGGGAGCCCTGCCTGGCACAGCAGGAGGCCTCGATAGAGGGGCTGGATGTGCCTGACTTTGCATTTTGTGTTGGGCTGTGACTGTCCCTTTAACTGTCCCACCTGCCAGCTCAGAGGAGGGGAACCCAGTGAGCCACACCTGTGCCCTGAGCCCCAGATGGGTCTCGCCTCTGCCAGCGTGACCGGGACTCCAGCGACCCCAGCTCCAGGCACAGATGTGTCCAGGTGCAGAGAAAGCAGACGGGGCCTATCGTGTGAATGCAGCCCTCTGTGAGGGTCGCATGTATAATTTCCCATCTATCAGTCACATGCCTGAAAAGTCACCATTCGAAAAGCAAAATATATGGCAAAGAATGAACTGAACTAGAATTTTTGATTCTTGCTCTACTCCTGTCCCGCCATGAGACTGCGGCCAGGTTGCTTTCCTCATGGCCTCGGCGTCCTCGCGTGTGTCTTGCAGGGTTGTCCTGGGAGCTTTAGGCCTCTTGGCCTCTGCTGTTGCCTGGTAGTGCAGTTGTCCCTGGGTCGCACACAGGGATGTGAATGTGACATGTAGACTGGGGGAACTCCGTAGTGTCACCCAAACTAGACTAGAGGCCACCTCGATTTCAGGAACAAGGGAGTCCATCCTGCAGAGACTGGGGATGGTGGTGGAGAGAAACGTCACCAATTCAGGGGGACAGATTGCAAAGTGGACAGATGGCCTTAGCATGAGCGAGGAATGCAGCTCTGGGAGCAAGAAAGGCCGGGGCAGGCGGGGCAGCAGATCCCGGGAGGGCGCTGCTGGACCCTGAGACTCAGGCCAGGAAACAGCAGAGGACAGACATCAGCCTCTCAAAGGCAGGCCCTGGATTTCCTTTCCTAGTGATGGCTTGGCTGGGAAATTGCTTTTGCCAAGACTGTTCTTACGAGAGGAAGACAGAGAGCGAGAGTGAGAGTGAGAGAGAGAGAGAGAGAGAGAGAGAGAGAGAGAGAGAGAGAGAGAAAAGACAGGGATGAATATTGAAAGTTCACATCGGTGCAATTCATCTGTGCCTCATTTCTTCTCGGCTTTTTCCACGTCCTCCTATTTTTCTTGGAGAACCATGTGTCCTCCAGCCCTTGAAGGAGGAGGAAAGAGCAGAGACCTGAACCAAAGGGAGGCTCAGGCCTCCTCCCTCTGGGCGTGATCTCAGGGAGGCATGTGGCTCATCCGCCCTGGCCGTGCAGGACACCGCGGTCCTCCGGCAACTCGGCCGTTCGCTAAACACACCTTCCCCTGCATGTCCCTCCTGCTGACTCACAAGCTGTTCCGAAGGCCCGGCCAGAGCAGTTGAGTCACACGTGATCCCGTCTTCAGCACAGTGCCCGGCACGGAGTGGGCAGGACACACACAGAGTGGGCAGGATGTATGGGTGCTGGATCGATCCTGTCTGCTGATGTGACAGGAAATGCACTCTCTGGCCTAGGAGTGACGTTCCCTGTCCTCGGGCCCTCAGAGCAGCTTTGCTCCTGCCTCCCTGCTAGGGCTAGATCTAGTGGCAGGCGATTGTCAGCCTGAAGGGGGACGTTTGGTCGCTGTGGAAGCTCAGTGACTCTCGCTTTCTTCCTCTGCAGGTTGCTCAGAGCCCCTCCGGACAGAGCCCCTGCAGGACAAGCCCTGGGCAGGTGAGCTCCTGTCTGTTGCGGTGGCTGCTACATCAGGCAATAAATGTTGTTGAAGGGATAATTGCAATCCTTTGTTTTCTCAGAGTGACAGGTTATAAACCTTTCCCACCTGTACTTGGGAGCTCTCTTCAAACCCTGAGTGGAGGGACTGAGGGGTAGAGGGTGGGTGTCCTTTGGGTGGGGGAGGAGAGACGGAGGGAGACTACCTTGGGAGCTGCTGGTTGAGCTCAGGACAGCTCTCCACCTTCCTGCGCCCTGATCAGGCTGATCGGGTGGATTCCCTCATTGCTCTGTACCTCTAAGTCTCACCCTCGACACTCCGGAGGACTGTCTCACTCACAGTTGTGAGACACCCTAGAGCAGCAGTCCCCAAGCTTTTTGGCACCAGGGATGGGCTTCATGGAAGGCAATTTTTTCATGAACCACAGTGCGTTGGGGGGGATGGTTTCTGGATGATTCAAGCACAGTGCATTTATCATGCAGTCAAACCTCGCTGCTAATGGAAATCCTTATTTGTAGCTGCTCCCCAGCGCTAGCATCACCGCCCTGCTCCACATCTGGTCATCTGGCATTAGATTCTCATAAGGAGCAACAACCTAGATCCCTCCTGTGCACAGATCGCTCTCCTACTAGAATCTAAGGCTTCAACTCATCGGACAGAATTCAGAGCGCATGTGGTGATGTAAGCGACGGGGAGAGCTGCAAATGCAGACGAGCTTCCCTACCTCATCTGTCACTCCCCTGCTGCTGTGTCCCAGTCCCTTACACTCCAGGGACCAATACCAGTATCAGCCCAGGAGTAGGGGACTGCAGCCCTAGAGGATCCCAGAACATGTCTCTCTGCATGACAGCTGGTCCACAGCAGGAGGCGTGGGATGGGGCTGGGGGTGGGCAGGCTGGTCCCCATCTCTGTTCCAGCCCTTCTCTATGGACACAGCACATAGCAGAGGGGCTACTTCCTGCAAGGCCCCTCCCACGGGCCCTCTGCTCCCCCTTCCCACCTCTCTGTAGCAGTTTGGATTCTTATGGTTGAAAGTAGTAAAAGAAACACCCAACTAAAAATGGTTTATGCTAGAAAAGACATTTAATGAACTCATTAAACAACAACAACAAAATTATAGATATATATTTTTCTAGCATTGGTTCAGTGGTTTAATTGCCTTTTGGGGCTTTGCCTTTTTTTCTTAATAGAGGTAAAATATTCATTAAAAATTTACCTTTTTAATGATTTCTAAGTGTGCAGATTAGTGCCATTAATTAATTTCACATTGTTGTACACACTATCACTACTGTCCATCTTCAGAACTTTCTCCTCACCCAAAACATAAACTCTGTACCCTTTAAACAGTAACACCCCTCTCTCCTGCCCCCAGCCCTGGGCACCACTGTTGTGCTTTCTGTCCCTGTGAATTTGACTAGTCCAGGTTCCTCATAGAAGCAGCAGCGTACATTCTTTGTCCATTTATGTCTGGCTTGTGTGACTCAGCATAATGTTTCAAGGTCCATCCACGTTGCAATGTGCATCAACACTTCCTGCATCTGTGCGGCTGAATGTCACTTCACTGCAGGTTCACACCACATTTTGTTTAGCCATTCATTCACTGGTGAACATGTGGGTGTCTCCACCTTTTGGCTCTTGTGAATAATGCTGCTATCAGCACAGGAGTCCAAATATTTGTTTGAGTCCCTGCTTTCAACTCCTGTGGGGACATTCTTAGAAGTGGAATTGCTGGATCACGTGGTGATTCTCTGTTCACTGTTTTGATGAAAGCTGTCACAGTGTTTCCATAGTGACTGCCCCGTTTACATTTCTAGCAGCAACACACAAGGATTCCAGTTTCTCTACATGCTCCCCAACACTTACTGTTTCATGAGGTTTTGTGTGTGTGTGTGATAAGAGCCATCTTAGCGGGTGTAACGTGGCATCTCACTGTGGCTTTGATGGGCACTTCTTACAAAGCAGAGTGCCGTGGCCAGTGGCAGGATGGACAGAGCTCTAGCGCTGGCCTAGTGATGAGGGCAAGGGGGGGCACCAGGGCAGACTTTCTAAACTACGCAGTGGGGGCCTGGTAAGGACAGGGCCTCTGCCCCTTCCTGCAACCACAATGGGGCTGCAGTGACACTCACACCATGAGCAGCCAGTGGATTTGGGGCTTGGAAGGGGTCGCTGGGGGGAGGGAGGAGCCCCAAGGGTCTGCTGTGTCAGAGGGGAGTGGACGTGTTCCCTGAAGCAGAGCTAGCAAAGGAAGGCCTGCTGTCCTTGGGCAAGAGCTCCTTGCTGACCAGGCCACGGGTGGCCAGGATCTTGAGGAGTCCATGGCGAAACTTTTGGCCAATGAAGGTGTAGATGATGGGGTTGAGGCAGCTGTGGAGGAAGCCCAGAATGATGGTGGCTTCCAGGGCCTGGTCAATGGCATTGCGGCGTTTACAGGTGTCTGCAATGACATGTGTCCTCATGAGGGTGTCTGTGAGCAGGACCAGGTGGTAGGGCAACCAGCAGAGCAGGAAGACGAGGACCACAGCAAAGATGACCCGCATGGCCCGGTGCTTCTGCCCCATGTGGGCCTTAAGCAGCGTGCGCAGGGTGAATCCGTAGCAGAACAGCATGACCAGCAGGGGCAGGACAAAGCCGAAGGTCTGGGGCAGGATCCGCAGCACCATCCGCCACTTTGCTGTGCTGTTGCCCATGTCCTCATAGCAGACTGGGCTAGAGGAGGGCGGGTAGATGGCCCTACGGAAAATTACGATGGGGAGAGACAGGCACAGGGACAGGGCCCATATGCCCAAACATACAAACTTGACCAGGTGGCGCTTCTGGGTGAGAGCGCGTGTGGCGTGGACAATGGCCAGGTAGCGGTCCACGCTGATGCAGGCCAGCAGGAGGATTCCACTGTAGAAGTTGACTTCCTTCAGGAGCGACACCAGCTTGCACAGGGCTGTGCCAAAAATCCAGCCATTCACCTTGGAGGCGGCCCAGATGGGCAAGGTCAGGGCGAAGAGCAGGTCGGCCATGGCCAGGTTCAGCACGTAGACGTCGGTGACAGAGCGGCCGACGCGGCTGTACAAGATGACCAGCATCACCAGGGAGTTTCCCAGCAGGCTCAGCAGGAACACCAGGGCATAGATGACGACCAGGATACACTTGCTGATTTCCAGGGATTCTGGCCGGCATGGGGCAGAATCTGGTAGAATATGGGGCAGGTCAGTGCCGTAACTGTAATTACTAAAGTCTCCATCGAAGAAATCTTCAATGCTGAAGTCCTCCCAGTTAACATCTTCCATTGTTGAGGCAAATTTAAATCCTGGCCTAGAGAAGAGAGATGAGAGTGATTGCACAATAAATCCTGCCCAGAATCTTGCCCTTCCACTCAAGAAACCGGAATAGGATAACTTGTGTTGGTTTGTGTATTACATGGAAGTAACTTTCACTTCAAATGTGTAAGTGGTAGGGGCACTACTGTTATGAGACAAGTTTAGTGATAAATGGTAAACTTTATGACAATACTGTAGTTGTCTTCAATATCAGACAGAGGTTCACAGCATTTTGTGTGGCATGGCCATCATGCAGGATTTTGTAGAAAGTTCCTTTTGGATAATCCCTACAGAAGACAAGGTCATGCTTGCATAACTCAGATTTGAGCATCTTTGGCTGTTGAGGCTACATTTAATGTTCAGAACCGGGTGATGCCATTCGGTTCTTACTCTGGGGTCTAAGCATGCAATTTAACTGATTTGCATCCCTAGGGAAAGGTCAAGGTTTGACCTCAAAGCTCAGGGATGAATCTCTTTCTGCAACTTTCTGAAAGTAATTTTAAAAGAAGTGTTCTGGAAACCGGTTTGAGCGATAGCAGCATGGGGTTTCTGAAGGCTCGAGGTGGAAGTGTCTTAGGTCAGTTAACAAGGTCCAGTGTTTCTTTTTTGGGAAGAAGGAGGTCTGATCAGAGAGTATATGAGTCCTGAGAAAAACTGTATTAAACATAAGCAAGAGGTTGACTAATTCTCCAAATGGGTGGAAATGTAACTGATTATTTGGGTAGCTGTGGGCAGCCATGTTCTGCCTTGCGGGGTGATCAGAACAGCCAGTCTGCTCCCCAAACAAGGGGAGAGGTGACAGGAAGCAGAGAAGACAGCGAGACACACTATCCTTATTTGGTGGCTTTCTAGTAGTCCTGCTGGGGACACTCCTGTCCTGCATGTGCCTGCCTTCACCCACCCGACTCCCCTGTCCCCTCAGACTTAGTCTACCTCCACGGGCTCTGCCGTTGCTACAGGGACAGCAGAGATTGTGTTCAGCGCGTGCCTGGGTGTACAGGGCCGGCTGCAGCCACCAGGAAAGATCTTCCCTGTGTCTCGAAGATTAAACTAAAGTAAACCAGCTCCTGAATTAACTTCCTTTTGAACCACAAAATAGATCACCATCCTGCCTTTTCTTGGAGAAGGTACGACTTCCTATGGCCAGGCCCAGTCTATACCCTGCCAGGGTGGACCCCAGTGTCACAGCAGAGACAGGAAGAATGAGTCCCAGGAACAACGTCACACCCACCAGGCTGTGCACACTGACAACAGCACGGACACAACAATGTGGGTGAGGATGTGGAGAAACAGAACCCTCATACATTGCTGGTGGGAATGTAAAATGGTGCAGCTGCTTTGGGAACCAGTTTAACAGTCGCTCAGCAAGGTAACCATAGAGTTAGCACGTGACCCCACATTTGCCAACCGAGTTTATGCCCAGGAGAATGGAAAATGTGTGTCCACGTCAAACCTGCACACGAATGTGCACAGGAGCAGGGGCAGGTCTGCTGCCGCCCTCCAGGGGTCGGCCCGCAGGGCAAGGTGCACAGTGGGCCAAGGGGATTGGAGCAACCTCAGGACCTTTGCAGGAAGCAGCTGCAGGAAGATCTGCTGGGCTGCTGTGGGTTGAGTGTGAGGGGGGACACAGTGCCAGGCAGAGTGGCAGATTCTCAGTTCCCCAACTTGTGGGGAGGAGGTGGAGCCTACATGTCCCAAGTGTTTCAGCACAATAATCTCACTGCCATACATGGCAGCCCATTCTCCTGTTCACCTACCAGGGGACTCAGACAGCTCTGTCTTAATCTGAGCTGACCTTTCGCCTCTGTGTCCCCTTCCTTGGACCCAAGGAAAGACCATTCTGCTCCCAGCACTTTTTGCCTGTACCTTGGTAGAAACAGGATGTCAAGGGTTCCCAAACTCCAATGCTTTGGCACAGCCCATCAGAGACCAGAAGATGGTCACAAGTCAGTAATGTCTCCCCTGAATCCCCATGTCCCCCACCCCAGCCCCACTCCACCCGGCCACCAGCTTTTCTGGGTTTACCCTTCCTGACCCCTTCATCCCGTGGCAAGTTCTGCGCTGGGCTCTGAGGGAAGCGAAGTAGCAGAAGCGTGGGAGGGGAAGGGCAAGGAGAGCCAGGAGGGCTCAGGGCCAGGGGGTAGGAGCAGAGGGACCCAGGATGGTGCCTCCATCACCACAAACTCTCAGCTCCAGATGCAGGTGCTGGCTCGCAGCTCTGGCAGCCACATTGGACTGGCTGAGAGCCCCAGCCTGGCCCAGCCCACTCCTCTCTGGCTCCCTGACCTCACTGGGCTGCAGGGGTCAAGCCAACCCCAAGCTGGTCCCAGCACTTCTCCCATGTTGGGATTTCCTGCCCAACTCTCCATCCCAATCCAGATCCTCCTCCTCCCTCCCAGCCCCTGGGCCAGAGGTGTCAGGCAGGTGCCTCCCCTGCAGCGAGCTCTGAGGTCCTGGGTGAGAGCTGGGGTGGGGGAGACAGGAGCAGCCACCAGTTGGCGGGTGGGATTTAAGGCCATGTCTGAACCACAGTGGGTTCCCCCCCCCACAGGAAGTTTCTAGGGGGAAGAGAGAGTGCCCCCTCACAGTCCTCCTCTTGCTTCTGCTCTGCCACACAGGAACAGCTGGGGCTTCCACATGAGAAGTCTCTGTCCCCAAAGATGCTGGAACCCTAGTATGCAGTTCTCCCTCCTGTTCCCACCACAGCCACCTGCCTTCCTGCCCTCCTGAGTTGGCCCCTCCCTACTCAGCACCCTTCCTGTCCCCAACCCTCTCCCCCCAGTTTCCTGTGGGGAGCCCAGCCTGGGAGCACAGCAGGCTTCCCTGGGTCACCCCCTCAGCCACCCCTCCCAGTTTCCTCTTATAGCGCAGTGACCAGCCAAAGACACCTGGGTGGGCAGTCCTGCCTGGATCTGGATTGGGTGGGACAGACACTGAGGTCACTTTCCAGGGATACCAAGCCTGGCAAGGGTTGGCAGGATGCCAGAGGATCAGAGGAGGCTACAGAGGGTGGTGGAACGAGCAAGAGCTGGGGGTTGGGGAAGTCAGAGGGGCCCTCATGCCAGGCTGTGCCCAGGCTGGGCAGTGCATTGGGGGAGAGGGCTCTGAACCTCCTCCCTTCCATTCCTGCCAGCCCCCCTGCAGCCTGTTCAGCCCTCTGGGAACAAAGAGAGCCTCAACAAGGAGAAAGGTGTCTTTGGGGCACCAGCAGCAAGGCCACTGGGTGGCAGAGAAAGAAATGAAAAGGAAACAATACCCAAGCCCCTGCCAGGTGCAGGCAGCTGGTACAGGAGACCCCTGAATCTTCCCCCTCCCTTGGTCCCTGTGTCCCCACTCCCCAGCTGGCCTCGGTCCCAAGCAGCCACTGACACCAGCACCTTCCCCAGCAAACCAACTCCTTCTGAGTGGTGGCTCTCTCAGCACAGGGACAGCCCCACCCCAGACATCCCTGCCAGAACCACAAGAACTTCTGAGGACGTGAGACTGACATGGTGACCCCTGAGGGGCTTGCCCAGCCCCGGGATGAGGCACCAGGCAGGCTGACCTCACCTGCCCCGAATTTACACCCTGATGGGTGGTCTCCACTGCGTCAGTACCAACCGCCCAGCAGCCCTGCCGGCTCCACACCCTACACACACTCACACACACACTCACACACTCACACACACACTCACACACACACTCACACACTCACACACACACTCACACACATACTCACACACTCACACACACTCACACACACACACTCACACACACTCTCACACACTCTCACACTCACACACACTCTCACACGCACACTCACACACACTCACACACACACTCTCACACACACATTCACACACACTCACATGCACACTCACACACACTCACGCACATACTCTCACACACACTCACCTTTCCTGCAGAGGAGCCACTGAGTGGGGTGGGTGTCTGGGACAAGGCACTCCCTCGAAGGGGCAGTGGCCAGAGTTGCAGGCAAAGCTGTGGCTGGCAAGAAGCTGGCTGTCCACAGGAAGTGGGTGAGAGTGAGCCTCGTGTCCAGGCAGGAAGTCCCTGGGCCACTTTTTGGAGCAACTGAGTTGAGGACTCTGCTACCCGGGTTCCCTCCCCAGCTGGCCCAGGGTGTGGTCCAGCCCTGCACTGTCTCCTTCCTCACTCAGCCAGCTGTGGACTCCTGAGTGTCCTTTAACCCCTGCAGTGCTGTGCTGGCTGTGCTCTTAGTAGATCTGGCAGCCTTGGGCAGGGCACAGGCACCTGGGCAGGAGCTTGCCAGGAAGTGGGGACTGCCCCTCCTTCAGCCATTGGGCTAGAGGTTTTTGGAGACAGAGGTGGGGAAGGAGGCAGGGAGAAAACAGGACCCCAAAAGGGCCAGGACCCCATGGGAGAGACAGGGCTGCAGAGAAATGGCCCTAGGGCTGCAGGGTGGGGAAGGATGTTCGGTGAGATGATGATGACATAATAATAATAATATAGCAACTCAAACTTTCGTAGGAAACTCTGGTTTCTGCTCTTTCCAACTTCTTTTGTGACTGGAAGCCAGGAATCTCACTTCTTATTTTTCTTTCTAAACTTTTTGTTTTAAAATAATTTTGGGTTTACAGAAGAGATTCAATGGTAGTACAAATATAATAGTTTCCACATATCCTTCCACCAGTTTTCCTTGTAGTTAACACCTTACATCATCATGGTAAGTTCATCAAAATTAGTTAATTAACATTACTACTATACTAGTTAATTAACATTACTGCTATACTATTCATGTGACTGTAGACTTTATTCAGATTTCTCCAGTTTTCTAACATTTCTTTTCTGTTCCAGAATCTAATCCAGGATCTCATGTTACATTTAGTTGTCATTTCTTCATAATGAATTTCCAAATGTGAGAAATTTTCACAGTTCCCTTGTTCTTTGAGTCTGTTCTTTCATAAATACCACACTGTTTTGATTATTGTAGCTTTAATACTTTGTCTTAAAGTGAAGTAGTGTCAGTCCTCTGACTTTGCTCTTTTTCAATGTTGTGTTGGCTATTCTGGTTTTTCCCTTTCTATGTTAAGTTTAGAATGATTTGGTTAATATAAAAAACAACATGCTGGGATTTTTTAAAAAATGATACATAATAGATGTGCATAGTTTTCAAGTACTTGTGATAAGTTAATACATGTAGATAATTTGTAAAAATGGAATCAGTGTACTTGTGATGTCCATCACCTTAAATATTTGTCTTTCCTTTATGTGAGAACCATTTGAATTCTTCTCTTCTAGCTATTTTGAAATATACAATAGATGATTATAAACTGTAGTCACCCACTGGTCTATATAAAACTAGGTTTTATTCCTTCCTGAAACTCTATATTTGTACCCATTAATCAACTTCTCTTCATGGTCCCCTCCTCTCTGCCCACCCAGCCCCTGCTACCACTGATCCACTCTCTCCATTTGCCCAGAACAATGCTCTGCAGCATTTCCTCGTGTTCCCTTCAGGTGGTTTCATAGTTTCAGGTCTTAGATTTGAGTCTTTAATCCATTTTGATTTGCTTTTTGTATATGGTGAGAGATAGGGGTGTAGTTTCATTCTTCTGCATTTAGTTACATAGCTTTGCCAGCACCATTTATTGATGAGACTGTCTTTACCCATTGCATGTTCTTGGCACCGTGTCCATAGTGAGTTAGCTGTAAATACATAGATTTATATCGCAGTTCTCTATTCTTTTCTGTTGGTCTATGGGTCTGTTTTTATGCCAGTACCATAGGCTGATTTGGTTACTATTGTTTTATAGCAAATTTTGAAGTCAGGTAGTGTGAGGCCTCTAGCTTTGTTCATTTTACCTATGATTGCTTTGGGTATTTGGGGTCTTTTGTGGTTTTATATACACAGTAGTGTTTTTATTCTATTACTGAGAAGAATATCGTTGGTATTTTGATAAGGATTTCATTGAATCTATAATTTGGTTTGGGTAGTATTGTCATTTTAACAATGTTAATTCTCCAATCTCTGAACGTGAAATATCTTTCCATTTTATGGTGTCTTCTTCAGTTGGTTTCATCAGTGTTTTAAATACTTCCTTGAAAGAAGGACTCCAAAGACCTTATGGTAGTTGACTTCATCTGCCCTGCACCCCTTCCTACCTGACCTACAGCCATGGCTGAGCTGGAACAGAAGTTCTCATCCCAGCTCCCATCCCCACACATGCATCCCCTGCTGGGTGCCCAAAGAGCTGAGGCCCAGGTGGTACTGCAGGTCCAGGCCTAGGGAGAGGTTAGGGGAGGGCAGGAGTGGGTCACACTTGCAGCAGCAGCTCCAGGCAGCCATAGAGTCTGCAGAACAGCACCAGAGTTGGTGCCTATCCCTTGCCTGTCACTGTAGCCCTGGAGGATGGCAGACAGCAACTGCAGGGAGGATGGTCAGACATCAGGCAGCAAGGCCTCTGAGGGACAGGATCCCAAGACCCCTCACTTCTCCTGCAGCTCAGTGCCACAAAATCTCTCAGGAAGCACTCACCTTTGAGGTCTCTGGTGACCTTGAGGACAGCTTCCTCTTCTGCCCTGGGGACTTGGAAATGATGCAATTCCTTGTGACTTGGAAGAGCAGACCAGGAAGGACCCTCTGGGCTCAGCTGTCCAACTCTCTCTTTATTCAAAGGAGGAATCAGAGCCTAGAGAGGGAACATGACTTACCCAGGGTCACACAGAGAGGTACCTAGTAGGGTGAGCCAGCCCAGCTCTTCCTTCCTGTCACACAGCCAGGCCTGTGTGACAAGGTGGAGTGGCCTCCACCTACTGAGCAGGCCCTGTGTGCCAGGCACTGTGCTACTTGCTTGACATCCTTATCCCACACAACCCCCGTAATAACCCTGGGAGGTTATAACTCCAAGTTAGACAAGGTGACTGGGCACAGAGAGGGTAAGTCTTTTATCCAACATCACAGAGCTATGCAGACTCCATCTCAGGTGTGTGTGCCCACAGGGCCTGTGGTCTGGGCCCTGATTTGATGTGAGTGCCCATGCCACGTGGACACAAGGCTAAGGGAAGATCATCTCCTGTCCCCATGGAGAGCTCTCAGCCTGGCCTGAGCCGTCATCCTTCTAGAGACCCCCACTCATCCTTTCCTGGGCCCCTGCTGAGTGGAAACTGTGTGTTCTTTGAGGACAGGGAAGCAGAAGCACAGGAGGGCCTGGGCTGGCTCTGAGCCAGACACTGGCTGTGAGAGGGGGCGGGGCACCTGCTCTCATCCTGCCACTGTCTCCCAGGGGACGCTCAGCCTGGTCTCCTGCTGGCGGGTCCAGGGCCCAGAGAGGGACACTGTGGCCCTGGGGCTCTGGGCTTATTCTGAGATGCTGGAGTCAAGAGCAGGCATGGGTGGAAACCCAAGAGACCTGCCCCCCAGCCTGTGGTTGCTGGTGTTTGGGGGTACAGGTGGCTGCACTGCAGCGGGGGACAACACAGGGAGGGCAGAAGGACATGAGGGTAAATGGGAGATGATGAGTGGGGGGGTTAGGGAGGACAGGGTGGGGAGTCAAGAGATCTGGGTCTCCATCCTGGCCTCATTACTCACTTGCTGGGTGACATTACACAGGTCACTTGCTTTATTGGGCTTCAGTTTCCCCATCTGTAGACCATAGGCTGGACTGACCGACTCTGCAGCCCCTTCCAGCCCAGATCCTCGATAAATCCATGACCAGCTGGATGTACTTCTTCCTCTCCCTCACCCCTATCCGGGGCTCCTGTTCCCTGGCTCCTGGCCTCACTCCCCTTTCCCAGCTGCCCCTAGGATCCAGGGCTCTCCCTGCTACCCACCTGGGAAGGCCTGGCTGGCTGGGGCATGGAGAGGAGGGCTGTGCGGTCTCAGCCTGTCCCTGGTGACTGTGGCCCTGCAGAGCACGTCCCAGGGTTTGCTGTCTGGAAAGTGACTCAGGCTCAGCCTCTGGAGGGGAACTTGGCTCAGAAGGGGAGGAGCAGAAGCTTCTGTCCAGGAGAAGTGGCAGAGGCAAAATCCAGGGCACTGGGGAGAATGGTGAGATGGGGGACGTAGGATCAGGTCCCTTGGTGAAACAGGGCCTCATCCCTGGTGGCAGCTGCAGTTGCTGCTGCTCAAGTTTCCTTCCCCTTTCCATCCCTGAGCTGTGCTTCTTCCTCATGGCCAGCAGGGGGCAGAAGGAGGCTGCGGTGCTGCCCACCTGCTACTGCAGGGCTTGTCTCTTCTGTCACTTGTCTGGAGTGTGGTGCAGGTGGGAGGGGAGGATGAGGTTCCCACCACTTGCCTGCCTCCCACTTCCCCTCAGTCTTGTCCCCATGAGAGCTGGTCAGCAGTGCCAACGCCCCTGTCCTGGCTCCCATTCCCACAAGGATGGAAGTGAAAGCAGCCGTGAGACGCTGTGTCCTGCAAGGGGCCAGCAGGGCTGCCGGGGGCTGGGCCTCCCACCCCGCTGTGTCTGCCTCCTGCAGGCTGGGTCTTTCCACCCTGGCCCTGGTTTCTCTAGGCGGCGCTGCCCCTGGCGCTAGTTCTGGGGACAGAGAGGTGAGGGGCTGGGACCCGGGAGGACTGCTGGTTTCACAAGCCCCAGCGACCACATGTAGACACTGGCACAAGGCATGCCCACGCCTGTGTGCCCTCGCCCCGCCCCTGCCTGTCTCCGCTTGGCAGAGGCTCAGTGCCCCATTTGTCCCCAGTGTCTCTGTCTCCCCATGTCTGACTCTGCCTGTTTCTCTCCATTTAATTACCCCAAGCCCCTTCCCTGTCGCCCTTGGTCTCCTACTCACTCTTCCACCTGCGCCCCCTGTCGCCCGCTGCCAGGTCCTGGGTTTGCACTCCCGAGCCCTGCGGCCTTGGGTCTCCCTCTATCACTTGCGGTATCCCTCTGGTGTCGCCGCCCATCGCCACTTGGCACTGCCCCGCGCTGCTCCTGCTCTGGCGGTGGGGGCCGAGCAGGCACGGACTACAGGCAGGGCGGGCTGAGGGTGTCACCA